CTTTTTGAGCAGTGGCCGGGAGGCGCCGCGTGGTCAGGGCAGGGATGCATCTCCGGGGATCCGTGGAAAAAAACATTCAGAAGAACTCAGGCGAACCGATCAATCCAACGAATAGCAGCTCTTCGGAGGCAACGTGCTCGATCGCAAAAATGAAAGGCCGATCGAAGACAACAACCTGCTCGGGCGGCGGGAGGCTCCTTGTCATCATGACGGCCGCCGTCGCTGCCGAGGCTACCGTACCCTCTTCACTAACTTCCAGAACTGCTTTGTGCAAGACCGCATCAATATGAACGTCGGGGTCGGCACTCATGCGAAGGAATTGGCCAGTCCCGCCGAAAGCCTCAGCCAAGCCCATGGCTTTGAGGTGTGGGGCGACGTCTGCAACTCCAAAGCTGACTTTGAAGCGCGGTAATCCCACTGTAACTTTCTGCTGGGCCTGCTTCGTGGGCCTCAACTCTTTCCAGCCACCAGCAGAAAGACGGAGAGCAAGCTTCTCTGCAGCATCTGAGCTCTGGGACTTTGGCAACATGAGAACGGCACGGACGGCGTCCTGACTATAAGGCAAGGCAATACTCGTTGCTGCCTCAGCCTCAGCGACTTGAATCGTGAGGCCCGACATGTTCATCATTTGACACTGCAAATCGCCTTTGTCCGAAGTAGTGAACTTCGCTGACTGCGTCTTGGCTTTGTCGAACTGCTTCGCCCATGAACCTTTGAAGAACACTGCATTGATCAGCAAAGCAACGGTGAGCGGATCGCGAACGACGTCATCGTCCACAAGTCCTTCAATACGGCCCTGAGTCTTCTCCGAGACCCATTTGTTGACCGGCTCCGCGTGCGAAGGCAGTTCGCACGCAATCGCATCGAACGTCTTCGATGCAGCCTCCACGTATTCTGCAAGCAGGGCTCCCCTTGACCAAACAGAGCTGGCGATGAGCAACTCGCAATCGCCCAAACCTGCCGTGTGAAGGTCGCTCACCGCTGAATTTGCTGGACGTCCGAGAACGGTCTCGAAGGCCTTCGAGGTTGGGGATCCAAGCGTAGCGCCTATTTCCGCCAAACCCAAAGATGTCGAAATAGAGAACGGCGATATGAACACATTTGGAGAGGATCCAGCAAGCCGTGCAAACAGGTTGAGACCAAAGCTGCTGACTGGGTTCAGGACACCATCAGCGGCTGGCGAAGCAGATGCATCCACATCACTGGCTCCACAGGAAGGCTCCGCAGGAGCAGAAGCACTGGTACCTCTGCAGCCTGAGGAACCCATCAGATCAACGCACAGCGATTCACACCGATCCTTTGAGCCATGCTGGCTTCGGATCCAACGAGGGGCGATTGCATCGGTAAGTCTGTGCGCAGGCACCAACACGCAAATCGAGGCGGTCGATAGTGGACAGCCCTAGCGTGATACCCGCTAAGAATGCGAAAGCCGAGCCAGGGACGCGAACCAACCTACCCATACCGTAGGCACGGCGACACACGCGCGGGACTCCACGAGCAGAATAACAGCAGCATAGGCTCGCCAGTCGAGGGCATGAGTATGCAAAGGTCGTGGTCCGCTGGCATCCACAGAGAGGTGGTAAGGGCCCAGGCGAGCGACGACCTGCGGCGATGGTGCCCCCTACAAGACCTGCATTCGCAAGCCAGCGCTCCTCGTCCTCGTTCTCCCCTTCCACTTCCCCACGGACGGCCTTGAGCTGCTCAACAGTGGCGCCTCGAGGGACCTCCACCTGTGGGGGCGGGCATCATATTGCAACGAGTTGACTGTTAGAGCGAACGCGACCGAATGCTCTGAATCTCCCATCTCACCACTATGTGGCCGCGGGGCACTGTCGACGTCAACGTCACGGGCCACAAGAGCGCTCGCGCCCGGGAAGGAAAAAGAGGGAGAGAGAGAGAGAGAAAGAGAAACGAGAGCAAACACGAAGAACACTAGGGCCTCCCCGAACCGACCCCGATCTTATATCTCGGTCCGACCGTAAGCACTTGCAGCTCCGAGCATGTCTGCGTCCAGCTCAGTAGGTTTCATCGCCAACCCCGTATCGCCCTCGTCCCCCCCTCATTGGTTCACGACCGATTGTGCTGATATATGAATGGTACACTAGAACCGCGCGCGCTACGCGCGCTTCGGTTCCAGTCGTTGTCAGCAGAACTTGTGCTTGTTGACGAACCTCAAGACACCAAAAGAGGGGTTCCCCAGGCAAGGGCCGCCTTTGGTGGGTGGACGTGTTGGGTCCTTTGGTCCTCTGGTGACCAAATTCGTGCTCGGTGGGCGGTCGCCGAACCGTGCGAGATCGACGTGCGACGCGTCGAAGCCCTCGGCTGTTTCCCTGGCCATCGCTCGGACGTCCATTCCCTGTGTTTCTTCCGGTTTCGTGCGTGGTGTTTTCGCGAAGTGATCAAGGATGTTCCTCGATGGTCCTCGCCGAAGGAAAAATGCACACGTCCGAGCGATGCCAAGTTCCTAGACTGCGAAAGCGACGTGACTGCCACGGCGGCCGGAGGAGGCCCCAGAGGACCGGTGCCGCCAGGCCGCCGCCGCCGCCGCAGCCGCCCCCGCGGCCGCTGCCGCCGCAGCCGCCGCCGCCGTCGTGACGATCGTCGTGGTGGTCGTTGGCCGTCGTGCCTCTGACCAGGAGGCCTCTGACCAGGAGGCCTCCGGACTGTGGAGATCTGTGGGGGCCGTTGGCCGTCGTCGCTGCGATCGTCGCCGCTGCGGTCGTCTCGTCGGGCCTCTGGAGGCCAACCGCCGCCGCCGGCGTCGTCGCCGTGCTCGTCGTGCTCGCGGCCGTGGCCGTCGCTTGTCGGCGCCGACCTCGTCGCCGCCGCCTGCGATCGAGGGGGAGGAGGAGGAGGAGGAGGAGGAGGAGGAGGAGGAGGAGGAGGAGGAGGAGGAGGAGGAGGAGGAGGAGGAGGAGGAGGAGAGGGACGGCCTCACATCGAGGGCAGTGCTCAAATTTGCTCAAAGGCTGCGCGGGTTATGAGCAACCCGCGCAGACAGCTTGCCTTGGAGCGTCTGCGTGTGGGGTACAGGCTTGGGGAGGATGCGCCCTCCAATGCCAACAGGAGCGTTCGACGCTCCCTCCGGGTCGTCTCGCTTCTTCGGTGCAGCCTGGAACTAGGATTGGGGATTAGGTCGGACATGTTCGTCTACAGGCGGATCCTGGAAGAACAGAAGTCAGACAAATGCTCAGAACTGGTCAAAATATTAAAGAAGATCGTCCCCAGAGTATGTTTCATTATTTTTGAATGCTCCTCCTGTAGAGTGGCATGCCTGACTGAAAACTAGGAAGACGAGCGGCGATTGGGAGAGGGCGGCTGCTGATGGCAGGGGGGGGGCATACGAAAACAGCATCGATCAAAGGCTGTTCCGTCGCACGCTCTGGCTACCGCGGAGGCCCGACCACAAGAAGACAGTCCGCGATAAAACCAGCCCTGAGATCCCAGGGCGTCCATGGATTTTGGGAGTGGGAACGTCACGCGTTCCGTCGCCAAACCAGCGGAGCTCCCACGCAATCCAGGGCACCCTGGAAGCAAGCAAGGTGCTTCTTGGCATGGGTCTCCACTGTAACCTCAAAGGGTCTTGAATAAACCCCCAGGCAAGAATAGGAAAATGCTTAATTTTCCCCCGGCTTATTGACGGATTGGGACCCCAACAATAGTTGGAAATTAATTACTCTCGTCGGCGGATGCATGAGAGGCCATGAGAAGTGCTAAACAATCCCATCGCTCAACGCCTGGCGGCCTCCTCCTTCTCCTCCTCCTCCTCCTCCTCCTCTCCGACGCACCACCGCCACCGCTGCGGTGGTGGTGGTGTGTCGGAGAGGAGGAGGAGGGACGAGTTTCCATTCCCCGCCGAGAGCTTCGGGGGGGGGGGGCATCACTGAAGACCCCCTGCGGTTAGGCAGGGTGCTTCTTGGCATGGGCCTCCACCTAGGCATCGTTCGGACGTCCATTCCCTGTGCGTTTTTCGGTTTCGTGCGTGGCTTTTTCGCCAAATCATCGAGGATGCTCCTCGATGGTCCTCGCCGAAGGAAAAATGCACACGTCCGAGCGATGCCAAGCCACTGTAAAACGAGCACCGCGCTCGAGAACACCCGACCCGTGGGCACGGACTCTGCCGCGCCTGCGCACCGCACCCCGCGCCTCCTCCGCACGACCGCCTGCCTCGACCCGCCGCATCGCCCCCCCTTCGACCCCCGGCGACTGCAGGGAGTCTCGGGCCGGGCGAAAGGGGGGGAATAGCAAAGGTGAAGGGGCCCCAGGACACACAAATAAATACACACAAATAAAAAGATTCCCCATATTTCCCCTGTTTTCTGGGTGTTTGTCTTCCCCCCACTTCCCATATTTCCCTATATTTTCTAGGAAATCGACGATTAATTGTGTCTGTGTGTTTTCTTCCCTCCTGAAAAGGGGGGGTTTGAGAATCAGCTCACGTGGCTGATTTCCCCAGCGCCCCCCGGCGACGGGAGGCGGCCATGTATCGAGGAATGGGCCCCTCGGTGGGGCCGAAACCAGCTGCATGCAGCAGATGTCGTAACCCCCCCTTTCCCAATCCCCCCCTTTCGTCCGGCCCGAGAGTCGTCACCATCATCCCAGCGCTCCCGAAGTTCAGAATGACGTCATCGGCCCTCTCATCCGAGGATCGCGACGGCTTCCAGAGGCCCACGAGGATATTAGATCGGCGTTGCACTCCCATCCGCCCAACCCTCCCCCGTCGCGCGGAGCGTGCTGGGAGCGACGCCTCCAGCATCTTATATTGGTGCCGATTTGCGAGTTCGCTAGTGGCACGCCCAGGGGAGGAGTGAGATGGGGCACGCCTTTAGAAGGCGCCGGGGCTTCTCAGAAGCCCCCCCGCGGCTTTCTCGGGGATGGACAGACCCCCCTTTAGCAAAACGTGGTTTAGTGAAAACGACCTGAGGCCGAAACCTGGCGGGCGCAAGCCTGGAAAATAGCGGCCGCGGCGCCCTCTCGAGAACCGAAGACGGACAATTCACTAATCGACGTGTCACTGTTGGGGGTTCTGTCCACCCCCGCGGCTTTCCGAGAAGGCCTCCGACCTCCTGTGGCTTCGGAGAGAAGGCCGAGAAGACTTCTCCGAAGGCTGGACTCTCGGGTCGGGCGAAAGGGGGGGATAGCAAAGGGGGGGTTTGAGAATCAGCTCACGTAGCTGATTTTCCCGGCGCCTCCCGGCGCTGGAGGCGGCCATGTATCGAGGAATGGGCCCCTCGGTGGGGCCGAAATCAGCTGCATGCAGCAAATTCCGTAACCCCCCCTTTCCCAATCCCCCCCTTTCGCCCGACCCGAGACCTCTGTGGCTTCGGAGAGAAGGCCGAGAAGACTTCTCCGAAGGCGGGGCTCCTTGCCACCCTTCCGAGGAAAGGCGTGCCCCCTCTCTGCCTTCACCCTGGGCGCGCCGCCGAATCCAACACCTCTCGGGTGCCTCCTCGACTCGGGTCGTGCGAAAGGAGGGGGGGATAGCAAAGGGGGGGTTTGAGAATCAGCTCACGTAGCTGATTTTCCCGGCGCCCCCCGGCGCCGGAGGCGGCCATGTATCGAGGAATGGGCCCCTCGGTGAGGCCGAAATCAGCTGCATGCAGCAAATTTCGTAACCCCCCCTTTCCCAATCCCCCCCTTTCGCCCAGCCCGAGAGAAGGCCGAGAAGCCTTCTCCGAAGGCTGGGCTCCTTGCCACCCTTCCGAGGAAAGGCTTGCCCTCTCTCTGCCTTCACCCTGGGCGCGCCGACGCATCCAGCACCTCTCGGGTGCCTCCTCGACCCTGCTATGAAGGGGCCCCAGGACACACAAATAAATACACACAGATAAAACAATTCCCCATAGTTTCTTATATTTTCTTATATTTTCTGAGTTTTTGTCTTCCCTCCCCACTTCCCATATTTTCCCATATTTTCTGGGGAATTGAGGATTAATTGTGTCTGTGTGTTTCTTTTCCTCCTGATACTAGGGTGCAAACAAACCTACCTCGTTTTTGACCACCCTCGCCTCCAAGAAACACCAAGCGATGCCAAACTGCGGCCTGTACTGGTCAGGCCGCTCGACGAGGAGGCGCGTGGCATGACTTGGTTTTGCCTGGAAGCCAAAGCGGGGTAGGTAATTCACGCTCTGAGAGAAAGGCTTGCCCTCTCTGCCTTCACCCTGGGCGCGCCGCCGAATCCAGCACCTCTCGGGCGCCTCCTCGACTCTGCTAGGGGGCAAACAAACCTGCCTCGCTTTTGACCACCCTCGCCTCCAAGAGGTACCACGCGATGCCAAACTGCGGCCTGTATACAGGTCAGGCCGCTCGACGAGGAGGCGCGTGGCATGACTTGGTTTTGCCTAATTAGAAGCCAAAGCGGGGTGAGCTATGCACGCTCGGATCTGCAAATCATGAGTACGCCCTGCGAAATGCTTAAGAAATCATGGGTTAAGAAATTCATAGTCTCAGAACTTGAATAAAAACCCAACGTTTCTATTAACATCTGAAGATTTACATGGAAACGTTAAGAATAATCGAGACTCTGGCCGAAATTTTAAGTTTTCTTAAGCATCGCCTAAGGTGTACGCTTGTGTCTTGTCTGTCGCGCCGCACGTCGTCATGCCCGGAGAGCACGCTGCCCCTG